TTGGCATATAGAAGGGCATCTTTGATTTTTGATCGTTGACGAAGATCGGAACTTCGGATCCCACCCCTTACTTGCGTAGAACGGAATACTGCTAGCATCGTCCTTTTGACTATGCTTTCAATAACGCTAAGTGACCTTTCATCCCGCTTGGGCAGCGACCAGGTTTCTGAAGCATATGTTATGGCAGGAAGCACCGTTGAGTCGAAAAGGTGGGCACGGAGTCGGGTGTTTTTTGTCCTCTTCAGTACATCCTCGATGCTCTTGAAAACTCCCCAGGCCGCTCGTTTCCTTCTGCTCAGCTTTGGAGCTAAGTTGGTAATCATGTTAATTTCCCGACCTAGATAGAGATAACTGGAGCATTCGGAGATATTCGTTCCGTTGGGGGTGAATGAGGCGTACGAAACCAATCCGTTTCTCATAAACATCGCTTTTGTGAGATTTAGCCGAAGACAAATCTTTCCACAGGCTTTATCAAAGTCGGCAAGCAAACGCTCCGCTTGGATAATGCTTGGTGTTATAAGGACGATGCCATCAGCAAAGCGAAGATGGTGTAACTGCCGGCCTTTCGATTTTCACTCCCATATTATCCCATTCTAATATTTTCATGACGTTCTGGAAGGAGCCGGTAAACAATTTTGGCGAGACGGTATCGCCTTGCCTACCCCCTCTTCTGAGGTTAATGTTAATATCGTTGTAGATTGATGATATCCTGGCTGTGAATTTTTTGTACTGCTCACGAAGAATCTTTGTGTGCTGAATAGAGACTCCTTGATGAGATAGAGCGGTCTTTTGCACTCTCGTGACACCTCAGTGAGTATTGTTAATCAAATGGTCAGCATGCTTTCGTGAAACATGTTGAAGAATCTTCAACTGCTAGTTAATGAATATGAGAATCTTAATAGATGACTTTCATTTTGTTTAAATCACTTATTTTCACACATTTTAGGGATTGTATTTATCCATTTATTATTAGGATATTAACTTATTTCACCCTGTTAGTAGTCTCACCCAACTAAGGTCGTTGATGTGTCATGTGGCTTTTGCCGACATTTGTGGGCTTCATCTTCTTCATGTATGCCATTAAATGATAGTTACACATAACTTTCCCGCGAATTCTCAGATAGATCTACCAAAGTGTGTTCACATCTTGAATACACAGGCAGTCAAGTGCCTTTGTGGAAGAAAGGGAGCTCTTCTCAAATCAATCTGTTTCTAATTTTCCGACACAGAAGAGACGAGATGTTTGAATACCCCGTGTGAAATAACCATTGCGCTTCCTCATCAGTTAAGCTTGATAACCATCGTACAATCTTTGAATGTAATATGCATCGAAACAAGTCTTGTCTGGGAGGGTAGAAGTATATACATACACTGGAACTGTATATATACACAATATACAGTATATACACTAATGCTGTACGCATATACATATATACATATACATACATGTATGCATATGTATATACCCATATATACATATGTATAGTACATATATATATCCTTATGCTAACTGCTCAGATTAAAATTCGGATGCATCCTCCCTTCTACTGTGGCTGATTGAGATATACCGGAGCATTCAACGAATGCTTCACCTTTTTATCATGAATAGGTGGCATTCACAGTCATTATCGATGTGTGCGGATGTGCGTACTTCAGTAATGTTCCGCAAAACTTTGTTACTTGAAGCAAAAGTCATTAGCATATGCAAATCACTGGCAGCAATGTAAAGCCTCCTTGATGTTGAACGATAAAACCCCAATTTTTCGTACTCCGTGGAATGTAATATCGTCTTTGACACCCTACCTCGAACATCGGTGCGTCTAAGACTTCTAGACTTTGCAGAGCATGACAGATTGGTGCCATTCAGTGCACCGCCGGAATTCTCTAATGTCCGGCATGTCTAGCCACGAAATTTAAAAGTATAGATTTCGTCCTTAGTATTTCTCTAAAATTTAAATTTTAAATAGGTAAAATCGTAATAAGACTCTAGAAAAGGTATAGCTTTAAAGTGATGAATACAACCCCTAGCGCAGGCCTCTCAAAACACCAGCAGCTCGTGACAAAAGTGATGCAATATTCAGTCACGTTTTGACAACTCCCATATTACACGGTATACATGATTTTTTAAAAGATATGACTGATGAAAGACAGCTCGCAGTGAAGGAGTTTCCCCTGAACTATAGTACTAATTGTGTGAAGAGGTTGTTCCCTCCTTAATAAAACTTGCACGACTGTTAGATACGAAACTGAGAGAACTTGCACTGTCGAATTAAAGTGAAGTCCATCTTCTGCACAAAGAAATGGACGATCTACTGCCCCAGGCTAGAATAACGTGCAGAATAATTGTGTTCAACTTCACATAGCTGCTAAAACCACTTAAGCCTATCGGTATCTGCAGAGAAAATCTGTCTACCTACAGTGTGAAGCTTTGTAACAAAAAAAGATCCTCAAACGTGAAAAAAGTTGACCAATACAGTGGTTTTTTTGGTACAGCTGTACGTAAGACATGGTCTCTACTTAAGTTCATAAGTCTATCGTTACGTTAAGAAAGCATTTATCTAGTGAGCCGATGGTGAAATAACAGCTGCACTATCATGCTATGGCCTATCGAGAATACAAAAACACAGCACGACCACTGCATTGAAATGTCGCCCAAGACGGAAACCGTGAAAGTGTCACTTTCACACATGAAAGAAAGCAGCACAAAAAAAAAACAAAAACAATGGAAACAACCTGATCAGCATTTTCGTTGGAAATGAACAATTAAGTAACAAAAATAAGGATTAACTGACAAGAAGGAGCCTATGTGGTTTATACGATACCCCGAGAAATGGTCGGCATTGAGGTTGGTAAATGAGGAGTTGAATTAAAGGAGCGCTACAGCAAGCCTATTAAGCTCGTTAACATAAAGCTAAGAACAAATGAGAACATCGTACAATGGACATTCCACCGCTAAAAATTCTATCAGCACAGTACAAAGTTGTAAAAGAGGCAAGTTTTCCAGGCAATCGCGATCAACACACATAATACAAAGCTACGTTATGGGTAAAACAATGGCGGATTCTGTTGTTTTTAGTCTGCGGCTGTAAGCAATCCTAACACACCGGTTGCAGTGCAAATTGATTTCAATGCGTATTTGGGCGGAAGTGATCGCACTTTCCATCTTTGATAAAACTCATCCAAACTCATAGTAAGCTTTACCAACTGGAACAAAAAACACTAGAATCTGCAGATCCTTGCCAACAACCTACAATTTCTCTAAGATGAAATTTTGGTTGTGTATAGCACTAGGAAGTAAGTTTCGTGGGTTTTTTGAATCGGAATTTTGAATAACAACACGGTTGAATGAGTGCGATTCGTTGTTTCTGCCTGTGCTTAGGATAAGGTAAAGCTCGTAACACTTTTGAAAGGCTTATCTGCATGAAGAGAATGTTGTAGTGATCTCCCGCTGCTCGACAGATGAATTTATTAATCATAAAAAATCGGTGAAATCCTACTGCACCGCAACAGTCGAGTTCGAGTTTTCTAGATAAATGCACAGTTGCGCTACGAGGTCCCGGATCATCTATCACAGTCATCGGACCTCTCACTAAACACCACTCTTTCCAAGAAGCTCGACAATAACTAGCTGGCAACGTCCTCAACAACTAAATCGCTGTTTAAGATATCTTAAAAGAATTCGTCCCTATTGGAACTTCGGAATTCTATTATACCCAAATGTAGAATTTCTTGATAAGTAGAACCTGTATTTGAGCCAAGTCATATCGTTTCAAAGTAACAATACAAAACCCGCCACTGCTTTTGTATTTTGGCACATAATACCTTTATAACAGTTGTATCTGCTTTACTCAAAAATGCAGGATTTCATATATCACATGTTGCCATCGAAAAGTTGAACGACAAATTTTACAGCGACGGTTTCGACGGACCTCGCCTTATCATTCACGTCTGAAACAATGACGGTTTGCAAAAAAAGGAAGAGAAATCCGAATGATAAAAACGTTTCATGGCAAGTTTACCACCAAAAGACTAACGCTTTCTTAGATGCATCGGTTTTATCATTGGGCCACGATGCAATGACGACTCTCTAAGAAGGTCGCTGAGTGCTACGCTAGCTTCGTCTGGAAAATGAACGTTATAATCGGAAAATTTTGATAATTTACAATGCCTTAACTTTTATTTATTGCTCATCCTTTTTTCAGCAAGGATGAGCAAAATTCGTAACCTCAAGTGGGCTTCGAACCCCGAATGCCTTCACTGGTGGTCATGCGGTAACCTATCAGCTATCGCCTATCAATGACAATAATCTGAGGAGCACAAATCGCCACCGAATCCGGGTAATTTGAAGCCGCAGTTAAAATTATAATGTTCTAACTTTTATTTATTGTCTACATTTTTTAGGCCAAGGTACATCGTCAACTACAACTGCAAGGATGCTAGAAAAAAATTGGAATAGAAATATGGACTCACCTAGAATTGGAATATCGGGACGGTAGAGATTCTTTTGTAGGAGCAAAAGGGAGAACCTGATAGATCTGTTTTCAAAAGAGAACTGGGTAGTGAGATGCAGGTCGGTGGTGGACTTCGAAAGATCCACCTCGAACGTCTCCGTAACTCGACCGAGTGACAACCGCAGAATATACTGCAACGAACTTTACTTTTTGTAAAAGTTCTAACTTGATCAGATGTAGTGGACGTTGAAGAAAGTCTTACCGGTGGAGAACCCAAAATTTTCGCGGACATATTTTGCACACTAACAACTTCTACTAGTAGTCGACCAATCGCAGCACTTTTTCCGAAGGACTTCTGGAATTTGACGATTCAACACAATACCTTACGTTACTTCATAGTACAGAACTGATCAATATTTCAGCCAATGCAGTGTTTAAAAACACTTTCTGTTACTACGTCTGAGGATTGACTATGTTAACAAGGTGGGTGTTATAAGGCACGCATTTGCTGGCGATATTTACGGATTTTCATAATTTTAACTCGAAAAGTCATTTTCCAAGCGAAGCGTCCACAACCTGAGACTGTTGTTGCTCCGACATCATGATGGTGCAGAGGTTTATTGCTTGGTCCAACTGATTCGTCCAAAGACGGCATGCATTGCCACTCACACATCGAAAGCACACAGTGTCACTGCCTGTAGTAACCACAAGATCTATGACTAAAAACATGTAACAAACTTAAGAAAAAACAGTCCAAGTTGTTTGGAATGAGAGTAGTGGCCCGTCGACTCATTCCGTTATCCAGCAGTAAACAGGTGCACTAGATGACAATGTGCTTCACTATGTTAACTTTTTATTTACTGTTACATTTTCCCCGGCAGTGTATTGTGTGTGATACAACCACAATGATGCTGAGATATTTGCAGAACTCTGGACCGTAGGTTTACGCGGAGGGGAACGAACGCGCTATACCCTTTTCGGTGGTAACGCGTTCACCACCACACCATGCGGGTCTTTCGTGCCTGTCTCTCAGCTAGTTCTATCCATTAGTACCATCAGCAATCACTCATCAATGGGATTGATCTGGTGAGCCAAAATCGGCAATGAAACCAGTTAAGCTGAGGCTGCAGTCGAAATCACAGTGTTAACTTTTTATTTACTGCCTATTATAAGTTTTGACCGCAAGGTACTGTCTGTGGGTATTGTGCCGAAGCAGAAAAGCTATTATACAAGCAAACATAATATCATGGAGCGATTACATAGAAATTTGATAAGGCGCTCAGCTGTCATCATTTCATCACGAGGGATTACCTGTACGCTCTCAGATATCGCAGAATGATGACCCGATAGATTCCACATCAGTTAACGAAGAACGAACACAAAGCTACTTGAGTGTTAAGTTAATCTTCTAAGAAGTTCCCGGCTCGTAAAAACCTGGTAGAGAGATGCAACGGCTGAATCATCCACTACATGAAGTTACAACTGTCAGCTCAATGGAGGCCAATTGACAAGATTTTCTGTTCTGTTGGTGAGCATAGCTGGCATTCTGTCCTGAAAACTCTCGCTTATGCAGACTGCTTGCTGACAACGAGAGCGTGCACGAGAACATTGATACACATCATTTTCACCAGTTAATTGCTGCTGTTTGAAAGCTCCCGAAGAAACGAGATCAAACTCTGCACACTACGATAACTTCAGGTAGCTGAAGGCTCTCATCAGTTCGTTAACAACTAAGCCTTTTTGGTTAAGAAGCAGTCTCACATCCTATTGAAGAATTGGCGGACTTTGAGTAACTCGAGTTTCATGTCTTACAATCAGATGAGTGATTTCTCTTGCGGTAAGCATTCCGCCAGGTTGCATAACCTTAAATAAGACTCGAGTAGTTTCTCGATGTCGTGATCACTGGGAAAAGAAACGAGTTTCTATTTGACGGTTGGGCTCACGTGATAAATCAAAACGATGATCATATCATGGATTACAGCTACAAGGATGCTGAGATATTAGCAAAATCCGGAGCTACAGTTAGGCTTCGGACCTACGATTACGTGCTATCCACCACACCAACCGAGGCCCTTGTTTTGCCTTTCTCTTAGCTAATTTTTTTTTTACTGTAAAGGTGATCAGCCTTCAACGGAAGTGATCCAGGAGCACAAATCAACATTGAAGTCAGCTGACTTGAAGCTGCAGTCGAAGTCACAATGTCTTAACCTTCATTGCCTACTCTTTTGCTCATATCTCAACATCGCTGCGATTCTACTTCACATTACACCCTGCCATGAGAAGATTTGTAATTTCTTATTACACTAGCTAGCTCTGCTAAGCAGATATTAATTACAGTAAGTAACAAGGGTGTAAGGGCGCCTGTGGAGCATTGGTCCGAGGCACCCTGTAACACACACGTGCAATCGATCCCCTCGCCCATGGCCCACGAAGCCTTCCATCCCTCCGGGGTCGGCAAATTGATGCCAGAGGCAGGATAGCAGCACTGGCTCGATACATCAGTAGCCCACTGCGAGTCACTGTAAAGGCCAGATATGCATTCAGTCACCTCCAAACGATGCTCAATGAAATCAAAAGCATGGAGCATCTTTCAGGGATTGCTCAATGCCGAGAGCTTTACCCTTTTATCCTTTAACAAGAGTATATTATTTCAATACTTGAGTATACTCCTTCATGAATTAGGGAGAACGTTAGCGACACGGAGCATTTTTAAGCCGACTGATGCTTTGCTGATTACTTAAGAACTGATACTACTAGGAAACCTTTGAAAAACCGAGCTCGAATTACTTTTTGCATGGCGATAATTTGAATGAAGAACACTGGTCACTTTGAACGGTTACTTAACCGCATCACGTTCATGTCAAAAAACTTGATTCTAATACTGCTTCATTAAAACCTTATCGTTAGAGCACAAACATCATATCTTCAGTTCTCTCTAATGATTCTAACGAAATATTTATGAATCCCGATGGATTTCAAAGAACAATAACGCGGATTTCACGGTATCCAGCAATCCAGAGACAATTCATAAAAGCAAGCCACGTACCATGCTTGACGTTGAGGACGGTTTCGTCACTCGAAGGCAACACTGCCAGATTGGAAAGAAGCATCGGCTGCTTGTAGAGGGTTAGATGAACGTCAGTGGATTTGGAAATCTTGAAACTGCTTGGCTGCAAACAATGTAAAAGAAATAAATGCGAAGGAAAAGCAGACAGCCCTAATCAATACGAGCTTATTTTCCGATCCCCTCTATTTTCGATAACTGATTTCGTTGACAACTGTTGCACTCACTTCGAAACAGTATTACGCAGCATTTCGTTAATTTTTTTATTTACAGCATATTATATTGTTTCATGGCAGGGTATTACGTGTGAAACAACCAAAATGATGCTGAGACATTTGGAAAACTCCGGCCAGCAGGTGTCTGCGGTGAGGAGCGAACGAGCTATTACCCTTTCTGGAGGCTAATCCGTTCACCACCACACCATGCACGTCCTTCGTTTCGCCTGCCTCTCAGCTAGTTCTATTGATCAGCGCCATGAGCAACCACCCATCAACGGGATCATCTGAACTGCTGTCCGGACTTTTGCAAATATCTCAGCATCATTGTGGTTGTTTCATACATAGTACTTCATTCTAATTTCTAAAATACGGGTGAAATGTAATGTATTGTGCAGATTTTAATGTAAACTATAGATTCAAAACGTAAATTCGAAAAGATAGTGGAACTTAAGAAAAAACTCGTAAGACGTTTTTGCCAAATAACTCATTCAAACGGGCCAAAATGTCTTCATAAGGTAGGAAACATTAAGGGATACAAACACTGAAAAGCCTTTCATTTAAAACAGCCCCTCAATCTCACAGGAAAATCCAGAGAAACAAACTCAAAAAATGAAATTCTTGAAATCCCAGAGCTGACAGTGCAAAGCAACACATAACGGAAAGAAACATTTAAATGGAAAAGTTAAATCAATGCTTGTATTGACGTTTAAAAGATACTAACCTTTGACAAGTGTTCATCGGGTGTGGTGAGAAGAAGAAAATCGTTGAAAAGAAGCGCCACTAAAAGCCGTCCACTCCGTTGCTTGTACAACACTCCAGAATGCAGGAATGACCTCGGACCCTATCGATGTCTACTTTTCATTTCGGTTCTTTTTCACTGTTCCTTGTTCAGAATTTGTTAAAATATTTAGAAAGTGGAACGACGACCCTCTCTACTGAAATCTTTTAACTGGCAATCGGTAAATAATATATGCCATCAATCTAATCGTGATAGGTTAATCAACAATACCAGTGACCATTATTAACCTAAGCTCGGAACGCCCACCGACTGATATCCCTCATTCCTGCGCCGATTCCCCTCTACTACAATGGCTTCTTCCGATACACAGAACTTCATATCTCGTAAAATTATGCTTACACTCAAAAAAAATTTCAATATTATCATGGAAACGGAAAGATTATACCATCAGTCTAGTATTCGAAGTAAAATCGATTCGCAGTGACGGTGGACACTTCACGTGCGAATTCGCCCAGCATAATAAGATGGTGTTCTCTTTTTCAGTGACAGCTCGGTTCACCTCAGAGACGAGAGCTCGAAGCAATTGCAGTGCTGCGTCTAGATCCTGAGGTCATGCCAATCAATGACCAGTCGAAACACGAATCCACAAGAATCCAACCTGATACAAACTGCCATCAGGGTCACATTCCTTGAGAATTTTTTCGATTAACAATGGATATCTGCAATGATTTGAATTGCATTAATAATTAATCGATTAATGAAATAATTTCACCAAAAATGGAGTACTAGGCAAAAACAAACACATTGTAAAAACAAACAGCCAGTTTTGCAAACCGACTCTCATTTAACAGGAGTCCAGTGTAAAAATCGATGTGTCATTTTACTGATAAGCTAACACGAGGTTATAAAACTTTATCCGGCTAAGGTCTCAGCCCCTTTATCTTTTTTCAGAGCTGGAATGGTTAGAGTCTACTGTCCCTTATCCAGTGCGATCTGTAGTCACATACAGATCCGGATCGGAATAATAAACGGCAGTGGAATAAAAGTTTTTAACAACCTGGTCTTAGGTTATGAACGAAATGATATGTTAAACAACTTGTCGAGCAGGAAGACAGTTTATCCATGCCAACTTTTTATTTACTGCCAATTACAATTTTTCATGGCAAGGTATTACGTGTGATACAGCCACTATGATGATGAGATATTTGCAAAACTCTGAACCGCAGGTGTCTGCGGTGGGGAACGAACGCGCTATTACTCTTTCCAGAGCTAACGCGTTCACCACTGCACCATGTGGATCCTTCATTTCTGCACCATGCCATGAAAAATGTAACAGACATTAAATGAAAAGTTGACATTGCGATTTCGATTACAGCTTCAGCTTAACTGGGTTCGTTCCCGATTTCGGCGCCCTAGATCAATCCCGTTGACGGGTGATTGCTGATGGCGCTGATCGAGCTACCATCTCATTTAGATGGACTCTACTTGCAAAAGACAGTCTTTCTCTTGCTAACCTCATTGTGTGAGCGGAACTTTTCGTGTGTTGTATTTTGTTCAAAGCCTTCATGCATACTATAATGCGAATGACAAAAGTTGTTCGGAGAAGCCGTCTTTCGTTAACTGATCTATTCACGAACGATGAAGAAGCAATGGTAGACAAATGTTTTCGTGGAAATTTAGAAACTACGCAAAAACACCGTCTTCTTCAGTAAACGGCATTGCGAGTCACATCCGACTCTTCTCGTTAGCGCTCTATGGTCTCCCGCTCATTTTATGCTTTACTCCACTTAGATGATCGAAGTACCTAACCCTTATTGCACGTGGTCACTACTGTACATTAATTTCATCCTATTATCATGTACCTTTAAACAAATTAACCCCACTATGCGATCATTATAAGCCAACGTTATCACAAGCCTAGATGTACTCTTTAATTGATAAGCTTATCGCAAAATTATCATAGGCCTAAATGTATTCGTTGACAAGGTGCTCTCGTCGGAACGTTATCTCAAGCTTACGCATAGTGTGTAACCTTACCATATTGTCATTGTAAGTCAGGTTTTACGGTCTCACGTGAGTCCTCTGACGCGCATACCTCTTGTATAAGTACTGATTTACTCTACATCACGCATCCATTTCGCAATGCTCCTCCAGCTTATGGCTAATCTACTATCTCACTTTGAAGCATCCGCGTACGAATCAGTTTAACAATTACTTGTTGATCCTGTTACTATATTACCGCTTATATTGTTAGGCTGTTGGTAAATCATTGTTCTTTCGTTGCTGTTACTATAAACGGTTTAATTATCCAAGTTTGAGACATTGCTCTGTGATAAAGTCGAAATGTCCCGCGTGGCAAATTCCAATGAAGTCGAGCATTCTGCTTTGAGCTAGTGATTATTAAGTGCCATAAATTGACTCGAAGACCTATTTTTCATAAGAGATTATTATAATTTCTGGCGCAATGGCCTGACCACCACATTTTCCGGTGCATTGTTCTAAATGGTATAGATAGTACATAGTTAAAAATGTGAAAAAACCACACCTAGTTACTCGTCCAAGTGGCATCAACAGAAATGTGTTTAATGTCATGCCGCGTGCAGCTATACTTGCCGAACAGTTGGCGTAGAGAGCTCGAGCGTCCGGATGAGTGGTCATCAAGTCGTTCAATGTGTCTAATGCGACTTGTTGGTGACTGCAGAATGCCACGAACACTGACAACGAATCGATTACGGAAATGAACACCTGTCCTGAAATGCGATAAAAGGAAATATTTGATCCTCTATGATTCAAAGTGAGAGCTAAAGTCCTACCAAACCTCTTAATTGCCATAATTTCCCTTAAATTAAATCTAACGATAAAAATGTCCATCTCGGAGAGCTCACACTTTTGTTCAAAGATACAACTTTCGGTGTGTCGTTAATACAAAAATTTGATCCTCTAGAGCTCAAGTAACTTCCGAAGGTTCGTTGGACATTTTTTCGACGATTTTCTCGGAAACTTTCTTACGGAAAATATATTCGACTTTTGAACAGGTCTGTAGATGAATAACGTGATAATAGAAGTGTGGCAAAATTTCACTCCTTAACTGGGCTAGCATCTCTCACAGTGTTTGAAGCACGTGATCTAACGCTATCGATCAAAAGTAAAGGAAATTTGTCAACGAGAAGTGGTTTATATGATTCACTAACTTCCTAATATGATGTTTAAATTTTAGAACAGCACATATCTGCCATCACGGTTTATAAAGAATTTAAAAGGACTGTCGCAGATCATATCGAGCTTACCACCAAACAAATGCCACAACCTTCATATAGTGGAGATAACACATTGGCACCTGGCGAAGAGGTCCACCGCTTTGATTTAATGACCTTTCACTATTTTACAACAACCTATCTTCATCGCGAGTCGGGAAACATTTTAAATAAGGTCCCATTTAAAAAGCATCGCAAAAGAAACTAGGTACTAGTTTTCGAAGGTTGAAAGATTTAGCGCCTTAGTAAAATCATGAGCCATTATTGATATTTAGGACCATTCCAAACATTTCAAGCAAAATTTCAAGCATTACAAATAGTTCATTAGGCAACATCACTATATACCGCTGAATGGAAAGATACTTGCTAACTTCTCTGGTTTTCGAAACCCGAGCATATCTTCTAATAAATAGCGAAAATACGTATTGTGGGCTCCAAAAAAGAACCGGAATTTCTCTTAATAGGACAAACAAGGAAATAACTGACTGGCAAAGAACTTTGGATTCTAATCAGTTCTGCTGCATCTAACAAAGATTGTTACAAGATGAGATAGGTTTAAAGTTGAAAATAGTCAGAATTTTCGTAGCCACCTGAGTTGCTTGCGATTCATAAGATCGCAAATACCTAAATTTCTACGTAACGTACGCACCAGGGGAATTGCTTTTCTTCAACCGTAAATAGACTATCCTCGAGACTTCGATCAGCTGATTCCAATGACGGAATATGATTTCAACTTGCTGACGATACGGTAACTTGATGAGGGTGTCGTGATATAATTTTTTTGCTAACAACAAATCGCCAAGATAACGCTCTTCCGACGACAGAAGTTCCTGAAATATTAACATCTAGTGATTTCCCTTGTAAAGAAAATCTGTGAATAATATTAGTTATAGTAATTTTCTTCGTATTTTTGTTGAGCAAACGCGAGGTGTTATTATTCTTTGTTCACGATTAAGCTGACGTTTCGGCGGATTTCGCCTTCCTCAGAGCCGCTTCCTATGGGGTTTCCACTAAGCATGTCACGTAGAGACCAACCGCACAGAAATCACATGGAAGTATAATGTCAGTTATAGTTAATAGTTCTCAGTTAGTTTAGTTATTAGTTATTAGTTTTGTCAGTTAGTTTATTAGTTATAGTTCTTTTATTGAAAACCCATTGGAGAACTCATGTGCTTGTAGATATTGTCAATTAAGACCACAGCCATTTCTTAAATAATTTGTTAGCTTTTTTTTCTCTGGACCACCAATCAAAGACAATCACTCCAAACTGTGGCAAAAACTACTAGCTCGTTCCACAAAACCAATACACTTACACGACTTGTTAATAACCATAAAAACAAATTTAAACACGAACAAGACGAGTGGATTCAGACAAGAGAACTACTGAAAACCGATAACTCCTAAAAACAGAAATGGTCCCTTCAATTGGACCTTCGGTTACGAATTGATGCCTCACCACGATGGAAGGATCACTGGAGTCCGGTGTGACTCGAATTTAGGCCAAGAATAAAAAAGGCTTGGCAACCAAGGTTGTAAGGAATTCGGCAGACTTGGTTAGAAGGAGATTCAATTCCATTAGTACTTTCCAAAGATAGGGTCCAAATACTGGACCAAGTTGATAAAATTCCGTACATACGACTACACATGTGAAATTAAGGGGTTCGATTGTAATAATATCTTCAGAAATGTCAGAAAAGAAAAAAAAGTAAAAAGGTGCTTCAGTCTACTGTGCAAAGGTGTTGACTTTTACTACAAAATCGTTTCCGATATGCTTTGTATCCTATGCGTGCCTAGTGGGGCACTTTGTCTCAGTTTTCCTTTGCCATCCAGGTGTTCTTTTATACGGATAGACAAAAGTCTGCCCATTTCGCCAACATATTCGCCTTCGAAATTATTACAAGAGATTAGGTATATCGTACCTGAACTCATGCAATCACCGTCCCTGCCATAAGGGCAAATTATGAAATTTGGGGTTTCACACAGACGCTCATCCAGGCGGTTACGAACTAATTGACGACGTAGAGTAGCCGGTGGTATTTCAACTATCGCTACCGATTCCTCTAGACCTGCCCTTCTTAGGCATCGTTTAATAGCTACGCTTACTTCATCGCTAATAAAATGCAACATAAACGGGATTTTCTTTTGGTCAAATGTTTCGCTTGGGTGCGTCGCTCTCTTTCTAAACTTATCTCGTGGAGTTGCTATTTCATAGCCACTAGAGATGGCTATTTGCCGAGCCAAGTCACGCGATTCTTCCTTTAGTTCCCTGGTAGTGCACACAGAGGTGGCTGTTCGAAACATGTTTCTCACAATCGCCCTCTTTGTGTGTGAAGGGTGGGAAGAAAGGAAATGAACGAGGATGCTCTTTTTACTTGGCTTTCGGTACCACTTTGTCATGTAACCACTACTTAATAGGTTTACTTGAACGTTTAAAAAGGAAGCCAGCTTTTTCTCGGTTTCCCCCAGGTGAACTTAATATACCCAGGCTGCTCGTTCAATAATTCAAAGCATTTGTCCATCTCCTCCTGCGTAGAGACGACGGTAAAACAATCAACTACACATCTGCAGTAGGATAGCGGAGTAGGACACTGCCAACCTCCTTATTTGGGCGAAATATTTTCCAGGCCAACTGAAAATCGAGCAGTTTAGGCATACCTTCAGGCGAGCCATTAGCTGCTGGATGGACAACCCATGCGTATTTATTCTTCCTTCATATTCAACAAGAAGTTCGAAGATGGCTTGCATTGCAGGAGTCATTCGACACGTTGGTGTACAGCGCGGTAACGTCGAAGGACTCCATCACGTAAGCGTTATTAGGAGACGCGTTACACTTGGCCAAAAGAAAGTAGCGTTCATGTTGCCTTTTATTAGCGATGAAGTAAGCGTAGCTATTAAACGATGCTTAAGAAGGGCAGGTCTAGAGGAATCGGTAGCGATAATTGAAATACCACCGGCTACTTTACGTCGTCAATTAGTTTGCAACCGCCTGTATGACCGTCTATCTGAAACACCAAATTGCATAATTTGTCCTTACGGCAGGGACAGTGATTGCATGAGTTCAGGTACGATATGCCTGATCTCTTGTAATAATTTCAGAGATGAATATATTGGCGAAACGGGCAGAGCTTCGTGTATCCGTATAAAAGGACACCTAGATGGCAAACGAAAACTAAGACGAAGCACCCCACTAGACACGCATAGGATACAAAAGCATAACGGAGATGATTTTGAAGTAAAAGCCAATATCCTTGCACAGCAGACTAAAACACCAGCGCGAAAACTTCTTGAGGCTTTTTGGATAAATGCCAAAAACCCTACAATGAATAGCAGAGAGGAATGCCCAGAGGTCACACGCGACCTGACCCCGTATGTTCGCATCAATTTCTGATGTGAGATGGTGCAGTCGTCAACCATATGCGACTATAATCAGCTTAATCAGCTTCTAAACTTCCTCATTGGAAGTCACGTAAAAAGCGGTGAGTTTTTCGAGAAGCTGTTGATCATGTAATTACCATAGAGTTCTTCGTCTTTTTGTAAGTGTTACTGAAGCTTTTGGCCTAGTAGATTGTATATCAGTATACCTTTCCAGGCTCTGAAGAATGCGATACGGCCGAAACGTCAGCTACTGTTATATTGCGTGTTTTTGTAAGGAAGTAAATCTATGCTGTACAGCAACCTCGCGATTGCTGAACAAGAAAACGACGCATTCATATTCCAGTGCCAAGGTTAATAGAAAGTCCATCGTGGGAACTATTGAAAAGGATGTCTCAGAAACTCATCCATCAGAAGGCGAAAACAGGACAACTGAAGCCTTGTTCAAATCAAAGCAGCATAATGACGCTCGAATTAAAATACTTAATGGATAATATTGTAGCAAACAACGCGCAGTTAAGTAGTTAGAGGTGCTGTGCAATAGATACTAGATCGATTGCTAATTCAATAAAGCGTCTTAAGCTAAAGATTCCCACCTCTCTAAGACTAGAAAATTGGCACAAGAGTTGTTTATGAGACTAAAAACAATCACGTGATACATTCGTAGCCCACTGCAAAGTCACTGCCTTGACCAGGTAGATAAAGTCAATTACTTCTACGATGCTAGATTAAGTCGCATGCATGGTGCGCCACTTAGCGATTGATTAACGCCTAACGCTTTATCTTTTCTTCAGTCACAAAGCCATCAAAGTCAGCGAAGTAGGTCCACAACAGTAGGTCTACAACAAAACAGTTTCCGAGCGACTTTCTACTGCTTGTTGATAGAAAACTGGCTAATAATTTGCATGCTTCTTCCTCTCGTTCGCTGATGTTCAACCACTCCTTTCAACAGTTATTCCAGAGGAAAGTCTTGTGCAGTCCTTCGTCGCTATGGAATCCGATGTTTGCTCAACACATAGAGGCTCTATTCTGACAACGTGCAAAAAATCAAACTGGATGAGTTTAAGATCTATGTGCGCTTGGATAATCATCAACTGATAGTGCACGTGTGCCTCCGTCTGTAACATATGTATATGTACCTACTTGGATACTTGGACGGCCCGTCCTCACTGGTTATGCGGACGCCAGCATAATTTCCATTTTTCGGAATTCTGCAGTGTAACTATCGTGTTTCCCCGGAGCCCTAAGGTCAGCGTAGCCAAACTCTGCCCCAGGTCCCCACCACCAAAAGCAGTCGCAGTCCCTGGGATCAGAGCGAGATTTGCCATCATGCGACTAGTTTGATACCAGGGCGGTAGTCAATCCTGGTATATATATATATATATAACTGCCACGACCAACTTTCTATTAACCTCGGCATTGATCAAGTGATTTTCTTCGTATTTTTGTTGAGCAAACGCGAGGTGTTACTATTCTTTGTTCACGAATGAGCTGACGTTTCGGCAGATTTCGTCTTCTTCAGAACCGCTTTCTATGAGGTTTCCACTAAGTATGTCACGTAGAGACCAACCGCACAGAAATCACGTGGAAGTATAATGTNACATTATACTTCCACGTGATTTCTGTGCGGTTGGTCTCTACGTGACATACTTAGTGGAAACCTCATAGAAAGCGGTGAGTGTGCAAAGCTGTGTTCAAAGTGATTGAAATCTTGGTTTGGAGTTTCTTTGTTTGGTTATGGAGGCGTCTGGCCGAGTGAGTTGAGAGTGAGTCAACTTGACCTTTCCAGGCTCTGAAGAAGGCGAAATCCGCCGAAACGTCAGCTTAATCGTGAACAAAGAATAGTAACACCTCGCGTTTGCTCAACAAAAATACGAAGAAAATCACTTCGTTGAGTGGTGCTCCACTTCAAAACATTCGGCTCGACACCTCTCCGAAGATCCATGTCGTAGGAACAAACACCTATGGGCAGTCGGCTGGAATCTCTTCATCTTTGAAGAAGGCGAGAAGTTAGCGGAGTAGAAATTTAATGACAATCTCCTATTGTCCTCATAATCTAAGTAAAGCGTTTGTTCGCCTATCCATCTTTCACCTACCTGTTCCATAACAGAGCAACGTCATCGTCATCGATCACCACACATAACGTCATTTACTAATTAAATGGAATGCTTCTGCGCACATCTGAGGGCTTCACCAAAATCACAGGAATCACATCAAGTTCGAAGTGATGGACTTCAGTTTGAGAATAATACAAGCAATAGGCGAAGAAGGAGATTGGAACATGGCTGCTTAGCTAGGAAACCAGAGAATTTGCTATCATTTTGTCGTATTTTGTTTGTTTCTCAGCATTGTCTTAGTGCAAAAATTTTGAAATGGTGCGAAAAACTGCAGTTTTTGTTGACTCTGACAAGAACCCTATTTCAAGAAACGGTCTTGAAATAGCCGAACTTGCTTTAAAACTACCAAATTCGGCGGTTTTGTGAACACTAAGAGGTGAAGAGCGCCGCTGTAACCCACACGTCGAATCGGTCTCTGCGCTCATGGCCCACTAAGCCTACCATCCCTCCGGTGTCGGCAAATTGGTTTCAAACTTGTCTAGGAAGATAGCTGCATTGGCTCGATACATCGGTAGGCCACCGCGAGTCATTTTAAAGGCCATATATGCATTCATTCACCTCCGACGATACTTAATGAAGTTGAATGCATGGCGCTTCTCTCAGGGATCGATCAAAGTTTAGAGCCTTACCTTTTTATCCTTTAAGAGCTGGACCATGTTCCTTAAGTAGGAAGGCGTGGCTTCAATACATATACAAATATTGAGACAACTGCAAAGATGCTGATACATGTGCAAAACTCAGACGCCAAGGCAGATTCGAACCAGCGATTACCCTTTCCAGAGCCCACGTCTCACCCAGACAACTGTTGGATAGCACACCATCTGAAGGCACATCAAGGTGACCTCCATCTTCGTTCCATATTAATCGCTTGGCTGCTCAACCCTGACGGAAAATTCGAGAGATCTTAGTGAGGGTTGTTAGCATACAAATCAATACCGTATTTTCATGATAGAGAAGTGTTACTTATAGTAACTGCCACGACCGACTTTCTATTAACCTCGGCATTGATCAAGTGATTTTCTTCGTATTTTTGTTGAGCAAACGCGAGGTGTTACTATTCTTTGTTCACGAATGAGCTGACGTTTCGGCAGATTTCGTCTTCTTCAGAACCGCTTTCTATGAGGTTTCCACTAAGTATGTCACGTAGAGACCAACCGCACAGAAATCACGTGGAAGTATAATGTCAGATTTGTCACATTTGTCACGTGGACATTATACTTCCACGTGATTTCTGTGCGGTTGGTCTCTACGTGACATACTTAGTGGAAACCTCATAGAAAGCGGCTCTGAAGAAGGCGAAATTCGCCGAAACGTCAGCTTAATCGTGAACAAAGAATAATAACACCTCGCGTTTGCTCAACAAAAATACGAAGAAAGTATTACTTATCTTTTTTCTTGGCAAGATTTCAACCCATACTCGTGTGAATCATTGCGGGCACGGTTCGAGAAGCGGACTGTTTCCATTAACTATTGCTTGCTCGTCACCTCGGTCTGTAATCACTGATTACAGGAAGAATGATAACACATCGATTTTTGAACGGAATCCCTGAGCTGTAACCTTAGAAACCCGGAATGAACCTTGACCTATACGTCTGTAATTCGCAAAGGACTTAGTAGTTGTTCCTGTAACCCAACACACTTTCAAGAATCGTGTAAGTCAACAACAGGAGCTTTCGGGGCGAAGGCAAGCTTAAATACTTTTTCAAACATTGCTCGAATGTGTTTGATTTCGTTTCGTGTCGTCTCGAATTCTCTTTTGATCCCGATTGCTGCCTTTATAGACCATTCCACTTGAAAGACATTCCAGATAATTCTTTCTACTTCTTTTCAGCAAACGCAAGGTGCTATTTTATATCTTTATTTACGGACAAGTTGACGTTTCGGCGGATTTCGCCTTCCTCAGAGTTGGGAGTTACATTCCAGATAAATTACAAATTCTCTCGAATTGAATACATTAACTTTTCTACAGATATAACATGGTGCAATGAAATTATAGGACGCGAACAAACTTCAAATTCTTAATATAAGTCGTTTACACTTCTCTCTAGTGAAAGGATATACAGCTATAAATAATTACTTTTCTCAAAACCAGCACAAGTTCTTATCTACAAGCAAATCAACTAGTATTAATATGTTACACATGTGAGAATGCGTGGAAGATATGTGGTATTTCCAGGAAGTGTACAAAGATCAGGGCTTTCACAGCTTTTACAACTCTAATCGTAGTCATCCGGAATGTTGAGGAATGTACCGATCGTGGGAAAGTGC